CAAAGATGTCAGCTTGAGGACTAAGGTGCACCTGACCCAAGCCATGGTATTTTCAATAACCTCATATGCATGCGAAAGCTGGACAGTGAATAATGAAGACCGTAGAAGAATTGATGCTTTTTAGTTACGGTGTTGGAGGAGAATATTGAAAGTGCCATGGGCTGCCAAAAGAACCAACAAATCTGTGTTGGAAGAAGTGCAACCAGAGTGCTCCTTGGAAGCCAAGATGGCCAAACTTCGTCTCTCACAGTTCGGGCATATTTTCAGGAGGGAGCAGTCACTGGAGAAGGATATCATGTTTGGTAAACAACAATCTGTCTTAAAATTTTCCCACCTCACTGTTATGTAAGCGGTGATGAAGATACTATTTGGGACTCATCAGACATTCCTTGAATGGCAGAAAGAGGGAAGAACTTCGTCTAGCCATTAAAATTACCTTTTCTAGGTAACTTTGTTCTTAGTTATTATAAAGTGTACCATGTAAATGTTTTGGGGCAAAACTTTAAAACATAAATTACAGGAATCTCCCACTTTTTTCTGTCATAAAATGTTCCTAATACTCTGATTTAATTAATACCAAAAAGGTGGCTGTAACTACTTTTTCTTCTAAATTTCTATTCATGCAGTTCATTAAAGTTATTTCTGTGCATGTGACTGAATTCACGATAAAGAAAAAGGATGTTAATATCTTGACTTTCACTCACTGTAAAACATCTGTTGTGCTTTAATTATCTAAGACACATTATAGAATAAACAAAGAGCCTCCTCACCCCAGAAGTCAGTTTATTATTCAAGGGTGTGTCAAAAAGGTTTCAGAAAAACTAAATGAAAAATAATGGGATTGTTCCATGAACTTTTTGAAGCTTCCTCATTGTAATGATGAAGAAAACTTTGGAAAAGATAAGTTTGGCATCAACAGAAAATGTGCATGAAAAAGTATGTGAATATGTAAATGAGACAGAGTAAAAAGAGAAGTGAAAAAGAAGACTGCTATTTTATTTGAGGTAACATTCTGGATCTTGAGGATGTGACAGTAGAAAACATGAGGGTGAATTATTAGAATGAAGGAATGGTTTAGAAAGTCAACTAGGGCATGAGCTAGAGAGTTAATACAGTGGGCTGAGAGTGGGGGAAGTGTAGGAAATCCAGTGTTACAAGACAAGAATAGGTGTAGCTTTAAAAAGTACAAGTGGGGTGTGGAGCCATAAGTAAGTTACAAAGTGTTTTTAGCATGAGATTGGAGATGACTCTAGTACAGCTTGAATAGCCAGGGAAACGATTTTTAGTGACAGAATGTCTGACAGATCTCCTATGAGTTACTGGGTTGTAGCTCTTACCAATCCATGGGGTACAGTGACAAGTTTTCCTAGCTGTAGTGATTCTTAGGTGAATGCCAAGATCACTCTTAACGTTAGCACTAAGTCTGAAAGATCTCTACCAGTTACTCTTCAAAGAGGAACAGGACAAACTAGACTGACTAAGATATGAGGAAAGGAAAATAATAAAGGTAATAAAAGAGAATAACTAGAGATCAAAACAACAGGCCATGGAGAGAACAATATGGAACTGACAATAAGCGCTTTTCAAATGAAAATTTTTATATTAACTTTGTATCATCTCTTCTTAATAATGCATATACTAAGTCTACAATAATGATAAATTTTGAACAGAAAGCTAATTTTTTATTATAAAGCGTATTAAACAATATAATGCTACTGATACAGCACTTTTTAAAGCAACTACTACACACATCTGATGCTGGTGTCAAGTTAGACAACATTAAGGTTTCTCCTTCCCATTGCCTCTGGGATAAAATTAATAGTTTTTTTGCCAACGCAAAGCAATAATTTTAGGAGTTTTTTTTTTATCTTGTAGACTTTACATATATGCTGGGCTTTCCTATTTCAACAGAGTTCTAGTGATGCAATAACTAAGTGTCTATCTGCTAACCAAAATGTCCATGGCTCAAACCTACCAGATGCTCTGTGTGAGAAAGTCTGCTTCTCTAAAGACCAAGCCTTGGAAAAACTATAGGGCAATTTTACTGTGTCCTCTAGGGTCTCTGAAACTCTATGACAATGGGTTTAAACATCCAACAATTTGAATTCAAGACAGAATAGGAACTGACCTTCAACCAATCAGCCATCACAATAACAGAAGGGTCTGTGATTGTGCTGAGTAACTCCTTTGTGGCTCTTTTCTTTTCTTCTCGGTAGTTTTTCTTTTGTACCTATTTTTATAGAAGTAATAGGAAAATAATTAAAACTTACTAGAGTTGAAGTTTTCTACTCTAATTTGTTTAGGTCTATATAAAATGCAGAGTACAAAAGTCTTTCAAATTCTTACATCGTAAGTTTAAAAAAAGTATTTTACTTATTTTTTAGACTAACAGAAGTTTTGAGAAAGTCAAGAGTAGAATCTAGTTTTTCTGATAACCAGGTCTAGTTCTCTGTATTTTTTAAAAAAAACAATTTTACCTCTTTTTAATTATACAATATATCAATACAACCTCATGGCCAAAATTTCAAACAATACAAATAATACTACAGGCTGGCTACACTATACCCCATTCTACTTAAATCTACAGATTTGACTACTGTTAATAAACTAAGAGCTAACAGTATATACACTGTGTACGAGTTATAGTTCTAAGCACTTTCCATGTATTACCTCACTTATTCCTCACATTAGAAATAAAACTGTATTTTTTAAGATTACAGAGTATGTTGAGTCTAAGGATAACCTGTCTAGTATCTCTCTAGCAATGCACAGTAATTAACAAAGGAAAGAAATTAACAGAGGCAGACTGGCTCCAAATCCAGTAACTATAACCATCATGACAACTTGCTCCTACAGTTTTTCTTATTGCATTCTCTTACACTTTCATAAGATTCTGACATAAATGGGGACTACAATGTATTTTTTTTTACAGTGCCGTTGAGTTGGTTCCAATTCATAGCAACTCTGTATAGGGTTCCCAAGGAGTGGCTGGTGGGTTTGGACTGTCAACCTGGTGGCTTGCTGTCCAGTGCTGATCCTACAGTGCCACACCAGGACTGTAGCCTCATCTTTCTTCTGCAGAACAGCTGGCAGGCTTGAACCACAGACCTTGTGGCTCTCTCAGTCCAGTGCCCATTGTATGGAGCCACCAATACATGGAACCACCACATAAATTTTGCTAATTCTATATCCAGAAAATTTTACTTTATTTGGTCTTCATTAACATGCATATACAGCTGCATACACGAAACACCAAAGGATGAACCAGGCTGAGCAGGAACTACAGTCAATTAGAAAGCAGGTGTTCCTTAAGCTCCAGGTTCTATGGCTACTCAGGAAAACAGACTCACAGTACATGTTTTTTACAAGAAGTTGAAATCTGAATTTAAAAATTATTGGTTTGACAATTTTAAGCGTCACGCAGGCCAAACAAAACGTATCTAACAAGGGATAAAATCAACCCATGGCATAGCAGTTGTTGTTGTTGCCATGGAGATGGTTCTGACTTACAGTGACCTTGGATAGTGTTTCTGAGGCTGTAAATCTTTAAGTTCAAGCATGGCAACAATCGTGAGGTTGGCCCAGGACCAGGCAGTGTTTCGTTCTGTTGCACATAGGGTCGCTATGAGTCGGTACTGACTTGATGGTACCTAACAACAACAACAAATCTTTAAGGGAGCAGAAAGCCTCATCTTTATCCCATGTAACCACTGGTAGTTTCGAACTGATGACCTTGAGGTTAGCAGCCTCATAACCACTACACTACCAGGCCTACAAGTTAGCAACTTAATTTCAATGGACTCTAAAATGTCCCATCAAGTATTCCACAACACAGAGATGTGCCTGACTCCAGTAGAGGTGTGCAGAGATATCGAGTCCTTTAGCCCTGAAGTGGCCAACTGAGGCCTGAAGTGGCCCTGGGACCATCACCAAGCAGTCTATCAGTTGGCCAAGTGTGCTATATATTCACATTTTCTATGTGTGCCCATCCTCCCACAGCCCTCTCCATTCAGAGAGGTTCAGTAACTCGTTAGAACAGCCACACAGAACTCAGACACCATACTCACAGTGATCAGGTTATTTGGGGAAATGAACAGGTTACTATACAGATCAGAAAATGCTCAGGACATGGTTCTTCCAGTTAGGATAGCCTAGCCCTTCTCTGCCTGGACAGTGTTGCAAAACTCTTTTATGACTGCTGATAAATGTCCACAGGACATACCACTTCACCATAAGCCTCAGCCCAAAGGTACTTGGCTCTAGCTCTGCAGGCCAGCAAAGTTAGCCTCCCCAATTAAGTGCTTGGAGGCACCCCACTCTGTAAGCAAGCCTCTTGCCCAAAGTCACTCAATTTTACTGGCTCTGTGAGCTGGGAAGCCCACTGCTGTGTCTCAGGCTTGGGCTCTTGGGTCTGCTGCAGCTGCTCCTTTGCCACTCTTCCAGTCACAGCTTTCTGTCCCTGAGTCAAGAAGGATTGATGTGCACAGATCTCAGAGTCCAAAGGACATCCTCCAGCTCTGGCTCTTCTTCTTTGATGGTAGTGAGATTCCCCTCCTACTTCTCAGATGGCTAATTTTACACCCACATTAGAGTTTCAAGTTTTTAATCACAATTAACTGTTAACAACTTAGGAGCTCTGGTAGCGTAGTGGTTACGAATCGGGCTGCGAATCGCAAGGTCAGCAGTTCGAAAATACCAGCTGCTCCATGGGAGAAAGAGGAGGCTTTCAGCTCCTGTAAAGATTTACAGCCTCGGAAACCCTGATCAGGGTCGCTATGGGTCGGAACCGACTCGACGGCACTTAACAACAACATCATCCCATCTGCATCTTCTCTTAACGTCTCTTACACAGACCTACCAGGACAAAAACACTGTTTGGTGGAAGTTACGATGACTACGGGTAAAGAACCATATGAAGTAATTCAGTGCACTGAAGCAATATTATAGATAGTTAGCTTATTAAACTGCTTTCCATAGTACATGCAAAGAACCATGTCAGTTGCTGTGTGGATATAACTGTGGAAACTAACCTTAAGAGATTCTTTTTTTGTGAGCTTGCTTGAAGCTGAACTGTCCTTTTCCGAGCCATTATAAAGTTTAGATTCAGACTGAAATCACATAAAAATGAACATAAGAGAAATAATTCTATACATGTAGCATATTAAGGCTAATGTTAAAGCTTTTTGTGACATTCTTTCCATTTAATGTCAGTTTCCAAAGACCATTTCTTTCTATACAGTATTTGTGTTTAAAACATAACATACATTAAGACCACAAGCACAGATGCAAATAAAAACTAATCCATAAGCTACAATATAAAGTTAAATAAAATCATTTGTAAAATGTTGTATTCTCTTTTCCAGAGTATTTTCAAGGAACATATACAGTTATTTAGTGACTCTTAGAATTAAGGTAGTTGAAGCAATGTCATTTTCTAATAGTTGAATTATTCTTAAAAAGCAAATTACTGCACACATTGTCCCATCGCTACTCCTTCTTGAATGCAAAGAAATACAAGCATTTTCAGAAACTTGTATTAAAGAACTCCATTGAATTTATAGTTTTTAAAGCTAATATTCCTAGTATCTACTTCATCTTACCTGTATAGTGCCCTAAGTTATTACTGATACTTTAAGTTGATTTAAAACATCAGTTTATACTTCATATTGTATTTGATTGTATTGCATTTATAAGAACCTTAAGAAATGAATGTAGAAGCTGGTTTTATCTTCACTTGAAATCAAGAAATGGTAGCTTGAAGATTTTCCAAACTTTAACAATCAAAAACACCAGAATAGGAAGACCAATCCAAAAGGAGTTTCTATAATCCTGGGAACAATTAAACTGTACATACTCCCTCATGCCCTATTATTTACATTTTTGTTTATTGTTTTTAGACCCAGGAGAAGGTATTTATAGTTCTTAGCAGTATCCCTTAATGCCAAGAAAGTATTAGTAGTCTTTTGGTTCAAATAATGGATTTTAAATGTTGAATGGCCAGATCTGTACAGTATCACTAGATATGATTAAGGATTAAAAAAAAAACACACCACAAAAAACACTGAATACAAACTCCCTTGATCAATTTTAAGATCCATAAGAATATGTACTATGCTTATTTACCAATGATAGATATCCAGTGCATCACCTGGGGTGGGAGGGAAGTACTTCATAAATACCTACCGAATTCATAATATAAAACTGGCATTTGTTAGCTCATTTCACTGTTCTTAAAAATGGTTCTGCAACTTGGCATCAAATGTCAGTTATTATGATGATGGTAATGCCTGGCAGAACTAGAAAGGAACTACAAACAATTCAGAGAAAAAGAGGAAGACAACCAACAAGACGGATTAGCTCAGTGGCAGCAGGAGTGAGCTCAAGTTTAACAATGATTTTAAGGATAAAACGCAGTGTTTTTAAGGATCAGGCACTGCTTCGCTCTGCTGTGTATAAGGTAACTATGAGTCAGAACCAGCTTGACACCACCTAACAGCAACAACAAAGGTGCCAGCAAGCAAGAAGGGTGTTACACGAGCTTTGTAATTTAAAGCACACATATCTCAAGGCATTCTTGTCTAGTACACAGCCATTTCTGAAAGAAAACAAACCTGTGACCAAGTTCTATAATTGTTTAAAACATTACTACCTAAGCTGCCTGAATGAATAACTTATTTTTAGGTATCAAAATACTATAAATTATTTTTTTCTGGTAATATCTTGCTCAATTTTCTCACCTTTATAAATCATTTTCTTACTTATATTCACAGAGTTTAGTGTGCAGGACTGTTTGTCTTCATTATGTAGTCATAAAATGCCTGATATGTTTTAGATAGATAGATAGATACATAGATAGATAGATAGATAGATAGATAGATAGAGCTAGAGATATAGTCCCCACTTCCCAAGCACCAATGCTATTGTCTCCTTACTGAATGTATGGCTGTGGGAAGTCATTTAAACTCTCAGTTAACTTAAAATGAAGGTACCGCTATTAATTCACAGTTGCTTTATGGGTTAAATGAGGTAATCTACATAAAGCGTTTACATTTGGTATTACATTTTGTTTGTATTTAGTGTACATTGTATTTCAGGGTTATAAATATACTCCAGGTTGCACTCACTGTGAAAAAATCAGATCTTTAGGTAAAACAAAACATCAATATATGAAAATATTTACGATTTACTTAGAAACCCATAAAATATTACAAATATAAAGAGATAATAACAAGGTGACTACAGTCATTTTGACTATATTTCGGTTTGGAAAGTTTTTTCTTAATGTTCAGGTAAATACACTTTTACGGGAAGTGATTAGTTGACTTATAAAACCTTTGGCAAGAAGACTGATGACTGGAAAATCAAGTCGAGAAATTTGGGCTCAAAAATTTCTTATGCTTGTTAGAGGATTCTTTTTATCCACTAGTAAACTATTTAATGTGGAGTCCTGGTGTAGCACTGCAGGATAATGCACTGGTCAGTTTGAATGACAAGGTTGGCAGTTCAAACCTACCAGCCACTCCTCAGAAACCCTACAAAAGGGTCACTACGGGTCGGAACTGACTCCACAGCACTTAACAATAACAACACTATTCAATGCAGGTAATGCCTTTTGTTGGGCTGAACAGTTAAAGGCTCATTTAAAAGTGCCATTTGGTCTTACTTGTTTGTATAGGAAGGTGGGAATTATCTGGTTAACTGAGTTTTCCAATTCACCCATTCATATAATGAAAATAGTTAAGAAAGAATGCATGAGGAAAGTGAACTTTATTTAAAATTTATTTAAAATTTTAAAATTAAAAACTGTATTTATTTAAAATTATTTGAGGGTGAGACTGTATATTTCATTATGCTTGCAGAACTCAAATTTACACATTTCAAGAAATAACACTAATACAGCATTGAATTTTTTGCCTCAGGTTCATAATAGTAAGTAATACAGTTTAAAATTACTTGATCGTCCAGTTATACAGATCATAGAAGGAATAACAAAATCTTTAAATAACTATAATTAACCAAGAACTATGGAGTCCTGGTGTAGCACTGTAGGAAAAGCTCTGGACTACTAGCCACAAGGTTTGTGGTTCAAACCCACCAGCCACTCCTCAAAAACCCTATACAGGGTCGCTATGAGTTGGAACTGATTCCATGGCACCTAACAGCAACAACAGAGAGGGTCGGTCTTATTCCTGTTTTTATAGCTAAGACAACTTGAAACCATTTTTAATTTCAACTCTAGTATTAATTATTTTAATCCTTGTAAAAGCTTCTTAAATTTCTCTAAGCTTCACTTTGTTCCCTTATAAAATGGGAATAATAATACCTGTCTTGTAATATTGTTACTAATGATAAAATGACAAGCAATACATTTTCAATACAAAGGAACTTTCAACATCATTGCAGTTAGTACCTAAGAAGTAATAGGTAATAGACGAGAGTCAAAATTCGGCACTTTTGACTCTTACATCAGTGCTATTCACTAGAACTTGCTGAATGATGAAAATGTTCTATATCTAAGTTGTTCAATACAGCAGCTGTTAACCATCTGTGACTACTGAGCACATGAAATGTGAATAGTGTGACCAAGGAACTAAACTTCAACCTTTATTAATTTAACTTTAAAAAGCATGTTTGGCTAGGGGCAAATGTACTGGTGTGTGCTGCTCTAAAGCCGTGTTTGTCTGTTTTTTCATTACTGCACTCTGTTGTTGTTAATTACCGTGGTGTCAATTCCGACTCATAACGACCCTGCACAGGATTTCCAAGGCTGTAAATCTTTACAGGAGCAGAACGCCTCATCTTTCTACCGTGGAACAGCTGGTAGTTTGAAACTGCTGACCTTGAGGTTGGCAGCCCGACTGGTAACACTACGCTGCTAGAGCACTCTACTTCATTATACATCCCAAGCCACTGCCACTGCGTCAATTCTGCCTAGCGATCCTATATAAGACACAACACAACTGGCTTTTAGTATGGAAATCTTTACAGGTAAGTATTGGTCTCTTTCTCATGTGGAACAGCTGGTGGGTTTGAATGGTCAACCTTGTGGTTAGTAGTCCAATGCTTACCTTACTGCACCACCAGATCTCCTTTGTTTCACTGTTTCAGTGTTGTTGTTCGTGCCATCAAGTTGGTTTAGACTCATAGTGACACTGCACAGAGTTTCTGAGGAACAGTTGGTGAGCTTGAACCACTGACCTCGAGTTCAAACTGACCCTGCAAGTCCAGCGCATTTAACCTGCAATACCACATCAGGACTCCAGAGTTCTGTTTCATTAAGGTATACAAATTCTGTTTTCAGCGTCCCTCCCCCAAAATCTTTGTTTAGAGGCTACATAGAGGTGTCTGTAGGTTTTTAGGTTTAAGTGTTCAGGCTTTTAAGTGGGAAGACCATTACATTCACTAACATTAATTGCTTGAAAATAGGTTGTTTTTATTCATTAAGTTTCACTTTATTTCTAGCTATGACAGACACAAAACAAGCTATTTGCTCTTTAATTTTCTTCACTTGCATGTCTGGAACATGATCAAGGTATTTCATATACATGTTTTTATAAAAACAATACTATTAAGCCTCCATTCTGGGTACTTTTCACATATGTAGAGGGACCTTTATGAGATAAGTACTTAAAGTGCCCAAAATGTCAATAAAATTTGCATAAAAACAAACATATAAACATACTGTAGGATCCTCTCAACCAATTCCGAAACAGGAATAAAAAATGTAAGATTCTAAGAGTAGCGCCTACTGCTGTAAATAACAGAAACATTACCAGCTTAAATAGCTGGTCTTCTTACGGACACTGAAGTTTGATTCTACACGCATTAAAGCTACTAAACATGACCAGAAATAGCAGTCAAACAAAAGTCAAATCTTCTGCAAAATTACAGAAAGTTTAGTAAGTTATAGGAAAACTAGATCATCAAAAAGTATTTCTCAAATGTGACTATGTACTTCCTCATAAAGAAAAAGATTTCCTCAGACCTAAGAATGTGTTCAAGTATTCTGGGTGAGAAATACTGATTGAGAAAATGGTCTCAAATCTAAGAAAATTTCTTTTAATTGCAGGATTTTACTACAAGAAATATTTGGTGTTAAACTGGTAATATATGTTTGTTAAGTGTCATCTGGGTGAACTAAAAATATTTCAGAATTCTTAAAAGAACCATAAACCTTCAGAATACCTATGAATGGAGCATTCAAACTCGAGTGGTTTTACGAATCGGGCTTGCTAACCTCAAGGTCAGCAGTTCGAAACTACCAGCTGTTCCCCAGGAGAAAGATGAGGCTTTCTGCTCCTGTAAAGATCTGCAGCCTCAGAAACCCTATACAGGGTGGCTATGAGTTGGAAGCGACTTCTGGCACATAACCACCACCAGCACTACAGCAAACATAACAGAAACAATGTCATTCTGGAGAGAACACTGGTTACCAATACTGTATCTCAAGTAATCAACCACATTTAAATGAGTCATGGTGAAGCTTTACCTTTTTTTTTTTCATACATACTACATGGTTTAGATAACCAACATAAAATTTGTTCAATAAATATCTGATACGCTTTTAAGTGTTCTCTCATCTTAAATATTAGAAAACTGCAATAATCACACCTTTGGGGACAATAGGCTTACCTTGCTCTTTGACATGGAGAGTGAAGACTCATCTTTATTTTGAGAAACATCTTCTTTACCTCTTTCAAAACCTTAAAAAAAAAAAAGTACTAGTATTACTACTTTTAAACATATGCATGTCTTATTGCTAACAAGTGAATTCATGTAAGTTGTATAATTTAAAATACGCATTACATTCAATATACACTAGTGCAGGAAGCCTAGACTGTACACAGCTTTAAACTAGAATAAACTCCTAGGGATCATCTCTAAGTATAATACATCTTTAGATTTGAGTGACACCTGTTGTCGTCATTGTTGTTAATGTGGTTCTGACTCATAACGACCCTGTATAGGGTTTCCGGGGAGTAACTGGTGGGGCTGCACCACTGAGGTTATGGTTAGTAGCCCAGTGCTTATCTTACAACACCACACTAGAGAGGCAATAAGAAGTCACAGCAGTTAGGAACATAGTTGCCAACCAAAAGGTTGGTTGGTGATTCAAACCTACGCAGCAGCTCTGCAGAAGAACAACCTGGAAATGTACTTCTGTAAATATTACAGTCAAGAAAACTCTATGCAGCAATTGTACTCGTTTCATGAGGTCACTATGAGTCAGCATCAACTCAACAGCAGATAGCAGTAACAATAGTAGAACAGCAGTGAATGAAGTCTGATTTAGGTCAAGTTAAATGACGCTTTTCTGTGCTCCCAGAGCATAGAGTTTTTATTCTAATGAACTGCTTTTTGTCGGTTTCAAAGAAATAAAGAATAACTCAAACCCACTGTACTTTTTCATGCCACTGTCACACTGAAAAATGAGTACAGAATTGGTAGTAAGACGTAAGACAGCTTTGGAAAAATATATTTGAACAGAGAAGTTTTTTGTTTTTGTTTTTAACTCTAATTTTCACTGTAAAAAACAGTTTTTACATTGTGCATGTAGTTGTTTGTACTTAGTTGCAAACTCCAAACAGAGTTAAGACAAAAACAGAAAACATAAATCAGAACAGATTCTTTATTTTAGTGCAGATATGGCTTATAGAAAGTTTTGAATGTTGGAAAAAGAAGCTCAGAAATCTTATTTATACATTATCTGTCGAAGCCAATACATGTATCCCGTTTTAAAAAATTCTCTGTACCTAAAACTTGTATATCAAACAGTCAGTTAAAAACCTAGCACTGAAGACTTCCAATTAATTAAAAATTAAACAGAAATAAAGCAAAATGCTTGCTAAAACATACAAGTCTGATCAAAAGCTTTGAGTTTGCAGCTAAGTACAAACAACTACATACACAATGTAAAAACTGTTTTTCCCAAAATGCGCAAAATAATTTTCACTTGGAAAACTCAGTCACAAAAGTATATCTGAGAGAAGTCAAAAGTGTTTTGTCAAACAACACCATAAAGGCTTTTATTAATTTTTACCATGAAGATCTCAAATTACTTTACAGTTACTAATTTATCTTTATGTTGTCATTAAGTGATGTCGAATCAATTCCAACAGCGACCCTGTGTAGGGTTTCCAAAGAGCAGATGATGGGTTTGAACTGTCAACCTTGTGGTTCACAGTCCAGTGCTTATCCTACAGCGCCAACTATACAAATGGTATTTATACACAAAATCGTGAAAACTAGAACACATTTTTGGCTATTATGAATAATGCAGGAAAGTTTCAGATCACAGCTTTACACCAAGTTAGCCTGTTAATGATTTTGGGCAATAACTTGTTTTCCAACCATCCTCCCCACTGAAAACAAACAAACAAAAACCAGTAGCTACAAAGACAATCCTGACTGATGTCAGTCTCATGTATTCCAAAGTAGAACCGTACGTATGCCACAGGAAGTAGATCACCAGGCCCTTTTTCCCAGGTGCCTGTGGGTGGATGAGTGTGTGAGTCTACCACCCACAGACATCAAATTATTATGTTATTTATATATAAACATGAGGAAAGTATTTTTGTCAAAGTGAATTTTCAATATGTGAGGCAAACAGAACATAAAAAGCATTAACAACAACAAAAATCAATGCAATTTTTTTTTTAAATAGAAAAAAATGGACTCCATTCAATAGGAATTTCTATTCACTAAAAGGCAAAATTGAATGAGAAACTCACAGACTGAAAGAAGGTATTTTAATATGCATATAGACTAAAGGACACATCTGGAAAATGGGATAGACAGCACTTAACAACAACAGCCTAGAAAATGGAGCTCTGGTGTGGCAGATAAGCACTGGACTGCTTAGAGTAAGGTCGGTGGTTCAGACCCACCAGCTGTTCCTTGAAAACGCTACACCGGGTCACAATGTATTGGAACTTACTCGATGGCTCTGAACAACAACAATCCTGAAAATATAAAGAATTTCTAAAGATCAGAAAGAAGAAAAGCAAACATTTTAAAAATAGGCAGGAGAATTGAATACATACATGACAAACAGATACATCTAAATGGCTAATTGTTAAGTGCCACCAGTCAGTTCTGACTCATAGCAACCCTGAATAGGATTTCTGAGGAGTGGCTGGTGAGTTTGAACTACTGACCTTGAGGTTGAGGGCTTCTCCTATGGTGCCACAATGGTGGTTAACCTCACTATCATTTGTGCCATCATTAGTCACACTACAGAGAGCAGCGTAAGAGTTTCTAAATAGTTGGTTGGTTGGCTGGTTATATGATGGTTCTGACTCACAGAGACCCTGCATAGGGTTTCAGAGGCTGTAAATCTTTACAGGAACATCTTTCTCCCATTGAACCGCTGGTAGTTTCGAACTGCTGGCCATGAGATTAGCAGCCCGACTTGTAACCACTACACTACCAGAGCTCCTTGAAGCTTAAAGATAGCCATAAATAAAAACAGAGTTAAATTGGTATAATTTTAAACCAGGTTGTTATTTAAGATGCTAAATGTAGTTCACATGGTATACACAGAGAAAATAATTTTTAAATATTCAAAAAGAGAAGGGAAACAAACTGATTCACTAGAAAATCTCAACTGAACATAAATAATAGCAGTATTGGAGTAAACAAGGGACAAAAAGTATATGACCACATGATCAGAACAGAAATATGTAAATTAAATAGTAGTGTCTGTGTTAAGTGAAGATTTATCTAGTTTCTATGTAGTTTTGTCAAGTTTCACTTATATATTTTAAAGACATACAATTTACTTTCCTTAAATTCTGTTCTGCCTCATCACTTTCTTTCCATATTGCATGTTTTTTCCAACTTATTTTTAGTATCTTTCTATTTTCAGATATATCTTTTATAAATAGCATATTATTTGCTACTTGAAAAAAAATAACCTTTAGATTATTTCCACTTACTGATTTTATCTGGGTTTATCTAACATTTTGAGCTTTCTGTTTCTCCTACACTGTTTCTTTTTCTTTCCTTCCTTGCCTTTTAATTATAAACTAACAGAGAAAATGATCACTTCTTTTTTAGCAGTTACTGTAAAATTTATAATGTATTATCTTTACCTTCTCAAAATCTACAGTTAATTATCATCTATACCCTTTTCCCCAGCAATACAAAGACCTCAGACAAATTTACTGTTTACTTCTTTCCTAGCTCAAATACTATTACTGTCATATATTTCAAAGCGCTCCTATTTTTTAAAAATTTGACTCATTAATTCTGATGGTTTTTAGGATCAATGTGCATTATATTTGCCCACATATTATTTACTTATTTCTCATTAAAACTAGACTTTTTAAAATTTGAAATATTTCAAAGCTCTCATACTTTTTAACAATCGGAGACTCATTAATTTTGTTGGTTTTAGAATCAATGTGTATTAAATTTGCCCATATATTCATTATTTATTTCTTATTAAAACAGACTTTTTAATTTGAAATAACTTTCTTCTGCTTGAAAGTTATCATTTCCTTTAGTGAGGGTCTCCTGGCAGCAGTCTTCTCAGTTATTTATCTGAAAAAAGTCTTTATTGTGTTTTCATTCTTGAAAGACTTTTTAAATGAAGCGTAACATTTTAGTTTGGCAATTATTTACTATTAACAAGTAGGTAATATCTAAAATCATTATAAGTCTCCTAGTGATTTGAGTTATGGAGGGGCTACAAATCATACTTGAGCTCTTCTGAGGGTTATTAATGGCCATGCCATAAAGACCCACCATGGGATATCAGCCTGACTTCAGGGGGAGGACTGGCGATTAAGCTCAACTACCTGGGCAACACACCAATCTAGCTCCTCTACGTAATGAAACCTCAGTAAAGTATCAACACAAGCTTGGGGGAACTGTCTTGTTGGTGAAAGACAATAATGCCTGGGGAAGATAACACATCCTTTGAAATATGGAAACTCCATATGGGGACCCTCTCAAACCTCACCATACACAACTTAGGCAGACTTGGCAGTCTGGAAGCCTGTGCCCTTTAGGTTGTGAGATCTAGAACCTAGTAATAGTGGTTAGGGTAAAAAGAACATTGTTTTGTTTTTTTATTTGTGGCTGGTATCAAGGAGTATATTTAAAGTATATATCTGAAGAAGAAAGAGACATACACAGGCACTGTTAACATTTAAGTTTGGCTGTTGTTGAGTGCCATTGAGTTGGTTCCAACTCATAGTGACCCTATCACAGGGTTTCTGAGGCGCAGCTGATGAGCTTGAACCTCCAACCTTGAGGTTCACACCAACTTTGCAGTCCAGCACATTAATCCGCAACACCACACCAGGACTCATGTTAGAGATAATAAAACAAACTTAATGCAGCTTCAGTTTTGTTTAAAAGACATGCACACATATCTACAAATGCAGCCTTTATAGGTATTCTAAAAATAAATAAGGATTTGCTAAAATATTAAGTATTCAGAATAGTGCCAAGAAGTTGTATTAAAAAAATAATAATAATAAAAACCTGCGAAGTCAAAACATACCCCTCCTCCTTTTTTAAATCTATGCACTAAAGTTCACAGTTTACAGATGTCTTTGCTAAAAGTTGATTTATTCTCCTCTTTTTTAGGCACTGTTCTAGAGATTGGTACAATGAGCATAAGTAGAAGCATTAACTAAGAATAGGGAAGAGACAAATAAGCAGACATGAACTAAAAACACAAGGATCCATTTGT